ACTGTCCAACAGACAACACCATGATAGGAATAAAGAAATTTAACTTACATTTTAATGTTTTCAAAATGCACACAAAATTAAATGCCCAAAAGATACCAGAAATCAAACTAAAACGCAACAGGATGCCACTGTTATTAACAAGCTCCTCATTTAATGATTTTAACTGACACTTGTTTTACTTTAACAGTGATTTTAACTGTCACTTATTTTTACGTCAATTGTTTATATGATATATGAATTGTGTAAATAAAGTGCTGTTAAAAGTCAAAAGTCTTCTTTTTTTTTATGGTGATTAAGTGTCGGTTCCGTGACACAGGGGTTTAAATTTCCGGCCGCATTTAATTTTCTCACCATCAGTATTTTATTTTATTTTTTACTCAGTAAAACATAAAAGGGGGTTTTAAATGTAGCGAAGTAACACTACTTAGGTTAAAATTTACTTGAGTAAAAGTAAAAATTACATATTTCAAAAAACTTCTCAGAAAATTACAAATTACTGATAAAAAGTACTCAATTACAGTAACGTGAGTAAATGTAATTCTTTACTTTCCACCCCTGCATTAAGACTCATGTGAATCATATGTGTGCCAATATTAAGCACAGATGATTCCCTTTTCAGGCTCATGTGAAAAACATGGGAATCACTTATCAAAACGATGTGTATCACATTTAATTTACATGTTTTCTCATGTGAGAAATATGAAAAACACATGTGTTTTAAACATAAAATGTTCCAAATCCTACATCCAACACATGCTTTTATATGTGATGTACATGCAGTACACAAGTTTTCACATGTGATTACCATTTGAACCGCATCTGATTTACATGTGTGACACGTCTCACATGTAAATCACGTACAAAGCACATGTATATTTGTGGTACACATGCTTTTACATGTCATTCCCATTTAGAACACGTGATTCACATTAAGACTCATGTGAATCATATGTGTGCACAGATGATTCCCTTTTCAGGCTCATGTGAAAAACATTGGAATCACATATCAAAACGATGTGTATCACATTTACATGTTTTCTCATGTGAGAAATATGAAAACCACATGTGTTTTAAACATAAAATGTTCCACATCCACATGCTTCACAATTTTGCATGAGTCACAAGTGGAAACTTGTTAATGATAAGTCCTTTGTATCATGAAATGTTCCAAATCCTACATGCAACACGTGCTTTTATATGTGATGTACATGCAGTACACAAGTTTTCACATGAGTTTACCATTTGAACCGCATCTGATTTACATTTGTGACATGTGTAGCAAATGTAAATCACATATGTGATATACATATAAGTGTGTATGTGTGGTACACATGTTTAAAGTACATTTAAAGTACAAGTGTATTAGATGTAAAAACGTATAAACTTGTGAAAACAATTGGATCACATGTGATACATACTTTGACTTTTTGACTAATGTCAAAAGTGTATTAGGCAAAGCATATTTTCATTATATTCACATAGGAAATAAAAATCTTAATATGCGGGAAAATATGTGATTGCACGTGATCAAAAGTTGACAAAATGCTTGATCATATGTGGAAATTGTGACCCACATGGAAATCCCATGTGAACATGTGTTTTTTTTTATTTTATTTTTTTCCATAAGGGAACACTAGAATTGAACTAATAACAATCATGAACACAGAATTATATGTTGATTCACAATTGCTGTATAATTTAGAGGAAACATGCTTGCTGTGTTTGTTCGGACAAAGAGAACAAACATTCAGGGCACGTCTAAAGTGGACCCATATAAAAGTCAGTGACAGACTGACATCCTGGTGAGCTTCCAGGATGTGCAACATGTCACACCATAGTGCTACAGCGCTGCTGACGGCGCATTATAGATAATGCCACATAATGATGCATAGCGGCCAACACATACAACCCAGAGGTGGGTAATTCTGCTGGATCTCATGAATGTTGCAGAAGAAGCACTATATGGGAAAGGGAATAAAATTCCACATGCTGAATCCACAGCCTATATTCATTTCAGAAAGTCATAAAAGCTTAACATTAGTATTCAGAGACTGTTCAGCTCAAATATTGTATTTGGACATTTTTTTTCATGCAGAGCATCATGCAATGAATGGACATGGATGGGAGGGAGGTGAACAGAAAAGCAGCATGTTGTTTTGAAAGAAATAACATGTCTTTAGATTGTTTTTATACGATGGCGCACCCCTTGCAGGAGAGTCCAATACTTTTTTTTTTTTTTTAAATCAAAAGTTAAGAAATATTAGTGTTAATGTGATTCTGTTTTGTATTATTTACATCCCCTGTGTCAATACAATCCTGTGCGTTCCTAACAGATGTTGGAAATCTACAGTGGAATCATTTATCCATAGAGCCTTTCATGCATTAATTTCATGATTATAAAATGTTTTCACATTTTATAATCATCCTGAAAGTCGGTTTTGTTGGCATTATCTGAATTGCAATAACAAAAGATAGAAATTCCAGAGTCTCTGCTGGCTAAATGTCAGCAGCATCTTCCTGAATCAATCCTCATCAGCCTAATTGATGTTCAGCACCACTTAGGCTGATATGATCCGCTTCTGCAACCTGTGGGATGCAAACTACACCCAGCTGCCAATCCAAGTCATGTCTCACCTCAGCCACCACATGTATCCATATTCGTATGGGAAGAAGCTGTTCGGGTCATCGCAGCAGTACTTTAAGTCACTGAAGCCGCAGCAGAAGACGGCCGTGGAGTCGCCCCCCGCCTTCGGACACGCGAAGCTTTCCACGAACACCTTTTCCCTGGAGTAGTAACTCTCGCAGAGCGCGCTCATGTCAGGCGCAAAGCGGGCAGCGTTAGATTGCGGCGGTCATTGCGGATCCAGCTGCTGCTGCTGAGCGTCAGAGGGAGAATGGATAACCTCCCTGCCTCCCTCACTCCTCCATCACTGACTCACCTGGCTGCTCCACAGGCGCTCTGATCCAGGAGGCTGCTTCCTGTTAGTATCGCAACTTTACAGGAGTTGTGTGGTGAACTTATTGGAAAAACAACTTTTTTTATGTTTTACTTTGATTTAAATTTTAAAAAGCAAACATTTAAAAATATTTAACATATACAAGTGTCCATAAGCCAGACATTCTGCTAGAATAAGGTATTTATCACAACCTGCCTTTTAAAAAGCATTATTGTAATTCTGTTCAGTTTTTTCCTGTCCTTATACCGTACTTAAAGTAGTTGTCATGATTTGGTTACGGTTAGTTGACCCAAAATCAGAGGCAGGGAGGCAGAGGTAAATTTCTTGTGGATTTAATACTTAGTTAACTGAGAACAGAGGCAGGTAACCCAAAAATCCAAATATGTAAACAAAGTCCAAAGAAAAAAAAAAAAAAAAAAAAAAAAAAACAACAACAACAGGAAATTAGGAATCCAAAAAGAAAAAAAGCCCAAACTAAAATGAAACCAGGAGTCCAAAAATCCAAAAATCAAAACATGAAAACTAGTCAAAACGTACCAGAAAACATGGAGACATCAGGGGAATCACTATCATAAGGACGAAGGCTCAGAGAGAAGGAGTTGGAGTATGTTTGATGATGAACCAACAAAGAAGAACTGAACAGAGAGAGTATTTGAAGGAGAACGAAACAAAGAGAGGACTAACGAGCAGATTGGGAGCAGGTGTGCACAGAGCAAAACCGAAAATGAGCTAGGGTAAAAGGAGAACACCAGAGGGCAGCAGAGGGCAAAAATAAAAACCTAGAAAACAGAAAATAACTAGAAGACACAACAAAATAAGAATTAAACTACTAAGACTATAAAACTTGGAGCAAAGTAAAACTGAATACTCAAAAGAAAAACAATACACGGCCAAGACTGAAACAGTAACTAAGAATTAACACAACAAAATAAAAATTAAACCACTAAAACTAGAAAACAAGGAGTAAAGCAAAACTGAACACTCAAAAGAAAGCATAACAGAACCAAGACTGAGACAGTAACTGAGAAAAAACAAAAAACAAAAGAACACAATAAACTAAGAATTAAACCATAAAAACTAGAAAACATAACAGAACCAGAACTCTAACAGTAGTAGCCATTCAAAATGTCCCCACTTTCCTTAATTGGCCCTTGGCTGGTCCCCTACATTTCCTTTTTAAACATCAATATTTGTACTGAAATATTCTTTCTGTCTTGATTTGTGGACATTTAGATCTAAAGAGAAGCGTCATCTCCTGGTCAGACCCTGTAATTCACTAGTTCTGTATTGTGGACAGAGCAAAGGAAATAAAAAATAGAAAAAATAGAAAAACCAAAAACACAGAATAACTAAGACATCTACTTCCACACCCGCAAGAAATGACAAGACAAGTAGGGTTGGGAATTGAAAAGATTTTCACGATTCCGATTCCCTTTTCGATTCTATGAAACGATTCGATTCTTTATCGATTCTTTTTTTCGATTCCAATTTGGGGGAAAAAGGAGAACAAACAGTTTGATTATCAGCATCAACTTTGTTTACTTAACTATTGCACAATCTTACAAACTCAACAAGATCAAGATGTCCACAGGAAATGTGAAACTGAAGTAACATCTGTGTTTAAATGAAAAATGAATACAAGAACAAACTTAATAACCAACAATGTCTAATAACAAATGATGGGATAATAACCTATTTTAAATAACAAAAAATACTAATTATAAAACAGTAGTAGGGAAAATTAACAGTTCTTTTGCAGAAAGATGAGCATATCTGCTTTTTCTGGAAGGATACAGGATCTTTCAGCGCTTAAGGTGTCTCCAGCCGTGGAGAACACCCTCTCAGATGGGGTGGAGGAAGCCTGCACACAGAGGTAGTTTTCAGCCAGTCCAGATAGCAAGGGCAGCGTATCTTGCTTGTTCCACCACCACAGTGTGGCGCTATCCCTGCAGGGGATGGAGGGCAAGCTTTTATAGAGCTGGATTTCCTGATCTACCCTCTGGGCTAAGGAAAGACGGGGCTTTGATTTACAAAGTGACCGCAGCTTGTTGTCTTCCTCCTCGAATAGTTCTTCCAACTTGCGTAAAAAACGTGACGTAAGTCCTGCTCCCCAGAGCCGGCGCTCTAGGCTCTGGTGCTGCGGGAATCGAAAAAAGAATCATTCAGCGAGCTGCCAAATGATGCCATGGAATCGGAAAATACGGAACCGGTTCTGAACAGGAACCGGTTTTCGATTCCCATCCCTAAAGACAAGACAAGAAAAAACAAAACACAACACTCCAGAAGAAGAATATCAACATCAGCCTGATTCTAAAATCTCTAATACTACCAACCTGATGGCTCCTTGGGGCCCTAAAATGTTATTTTGCAGCCCTCTAATTCTGCCAGCAATATCTATTCCTGCAATCACCATTATTTACAGTAAGGAGGTCGTTTGGTTCATGATGTATGGTTCTAGCTGCAGCAATGTGGGACCATAACTTGTAGTTCAAAAACAACTAACAAAATAGTTTTGATAAATAAATATAATACATGAAATCCCAAAAAACAAGCATAAATATGATAAATATTGGAATATGAAAGAGACTGATCCGTCCTTGTCTGTGTGTCAGTCTGGCCACAAGACCAATCTTTTTTCATGTGTAAGTAATTATTTTTAAGAGGTTTAAGATATTATAATGTAAAAAGAAATATTTTTGTTGTTAAATTGTGTGTTTTGTTACTATATTTATACAGAAATTATGCATCAATACATGCATAATTTGGCATTTAAGGCCATGTTAAAATGTCATGTCATTCAAAAATGTAACTGCCCTATGTGACCTGTCTTTTCCTCTATGTGAGATGTTGTATTTCTGTTTGTAATTTAACTGGTGTGCCGTCTTGGCCAGGTCTCCCTCGAAAAAGAGATTTCAATCTCATGGGACTTTCTGGTTAAATAAAGGTTAAATAAAAAAATGCAAAAAAAAAAACAAACAATGAATTTTCCTTGTTGTCTTGGAGCCCTAAGCAGTGGCTTAGTTCACTAATACAGCACCAGTGATTCCCAACAGGTGGTACTCGCACTACTAGTGGTCCACAAGTGCATTGCAAGGTGTACATGAAAATATTTTTTTCTTAGATAGTAAAATGTCATTTTGAGAGGAGACAAACTGAAAAATGTAAAAGCTTTCATCAACTAAAAATTAAGTTTTTCGTCTATGTTTGAATTCACCTTCAGCTTTGACAAACATCCAAACCAAGCAGAGGAACAGACTGGATGTAGAGAACAGCCTTGGATCTGCTGTTTTTCCACACCTGAGCTATTGGAGCTCATCAAAGCAGCTCAGATGTTTTGATGAAAACAAAGTAAAACTAATTAAGTCAGTCTGACTATAAGTTTTGTTCTGCATTTTGTTCTCAATTCATCAAGTTTAAATGTGATTATAAGGGAGTTACTTAGAAGAGCTCCAGTTTCTAAATACAGGTTTATAATATTTTATTTTTGATTCGTTATTAACTTCCAGGCAACATATTTATGTTTTTTTTTATTTTTATTTCAGATGGAAATAATAAAATGCAGAAGAATTAAATGCTCAATTTTAAAGTAAGTAAAATAGTTTCTATTTTATATTCTGTTATTTTGGGTTCCACTTTTGGACAATAATTCAATACTTTTGACTCAGAGGGGGATGCATGGTGCTTTAGTGCTTTAGTTTAGAGCTTATGTAGGCCGTAGTTTCATTAGTCAGTTGTTCTCATGCTGTTCCTGAGTAATACCAATTCATTAACCCTAAAACTATGGACGATTCATACTGGTATCATATTGGGTCAATATCTATATTGGTCAACACTCAGAGCTGCATTAACAGCGTCATATCAGAAATTAAAAAGCCATATTGGGACATCCCTAGTACAATCAGAGATGGGAAGTAACGAAGTACAAATACTTCGTTACTGTACTCAAGTAGATTTTTCTGATATTTTTACTTTACTTTACTACTTATT